CGGCGGTTCAGCATCCTCTTAAGAGCCGTCTACAATGGAGAGTTGTAGGCCGTAATAGTAAGAAATTGACCAATCACAGACAAAGTACAGAAGAATAATCGATTGTGATTTGTCACGGCTCTTAATAGTTTTTCTCATATCATTTAGGCCTGTTCTACAATACAGTCGTAAAAAAGTCACAATTGATTATTCCACTGTAATTGATCTGTGATTGGTCAATTTCTTACGACTTACAGCTTGCGACTGTATTGTAGAACAGGCCAAATGAATCCATCACGTGAGCAAATCACGATACTTTATTGGTTACAATTGGCCGCCGACTGCGATTGACAATTGTAAAATAGAGCATGGCCTAAACAACAGTCACTAATCTCAATCGCTGCCTGCTTTGCTCTGATTGGTTAAAAAGTAATCGCCAATCGCCAATAGCAATTGCAATCCGATCTTTAATTGCTAGTGTGATTTGGCCTAGTGGACCGATTTGAGTTAGTCCATACGCCATTTTAGGAATTTATGATTAACATTAGGTTTGGAGCACTGTTGCCAGAGAGAAGCCTGAGAGCGGCCATGCCATTGTAGTTTCTTGCAGTGTTACCGTGGAACTTGTCACACGTGACGTCACGCAGTAGAGAGATAGAGAGGTACGACTCGTACGAGGTTTCTTGCGACGGTTTCAGCCGCTTGTTTTAGCCATATATGTAATACTCTTATATTGCTAGTCGCGTATCTTCGCAATGAGAGGCACGAGGCCCGAGAAAGGGAGACGCACAAAGTCCAAATATGGGCATAGATGGTCGAGCGTCATTATGCGCAGGCGCATCTACNAAGTGAGTGCGAGCGAGACAAAGCATTAGAAAGTGAGAGAAAGACGCGAGAAAGAAAAATGCGCAAGCGTGCTTGAATGTTCACCGCATGCGCACAAAGCAGCTGGAGAGAGAGGCTACTATATTGTCTGCACCGTAACGGTGAGCTTCAGGTCGGCACCGTACTAGCAATATAGGAGTATTACATATATGGGTTTGGTGCGCTTGTGGCTCTTGGACCTACAACGGTTAATCCATACGCCATTCTATGACTTCTATTAGAGATGGGCGATACAGCCATAGACGTATAATATATAGACTGCGCGTTTGGCTGAAAAGATGTCTTCAACGTTGAGAGAGACAACATACTTTGAATAGTAACTCTTTCTCTGTCTATCAATGTCTGTGGTGGGATCTACTGTTTCCACAGATGTCTATACTACTACTAGATCGCTAACTTGAGACTGTGGGATATGGAAAAACTGAGGCTGGCAGGATATCCGGTTTCGGCCATGACATAAAAGAACGATATACTATATTTCATATACTAGCGGGAGCAGCCATTTTGTTGTAGGTTGTCATGGCCGAAACCGGATATCCTGCCAGCCTCACCTTGTTTGCCGAAGTTAGCGATCTAGTAGTAGTATAGACATCTGTGACTGTTTTATACCATCTAACTTACCATCACCCCTTAATCTCTGGGTGTGTTTTGCCGAAGTTAGCGCTACGTAGCGCTACGTAGCGGCTTCATGTAGCAGTTGCAACTGCTTACAAAAATGGCGGCCACTACTTAGAACATGCTGCACGTAGCAATACTGTCCAGCAGAAGTAACGCAGCAGTTGCAACTGCTACATGAAGTTGCTACGTAGCGCTACGTAGCGCTAACTTCGGCAAGACACACCCTCTTTCATTCTTCTTCATCCTCACTATTTTTCTATCCCCACTTTTCCACTACTATTCTATCAATCAGCGAAGACTTCTTTTTCCCCCACTACTTTGCTAGACAAAGATGAGGCTACTGTTCAATACCAGCTGTCTCTCTCAACGTTGAAGACATTTTCTTAACATGGCAAAGGTAGGGAATGCGCAGTCTATATATTATATGTCTATGGATACAACTTACAAGTATCGATACATCGTATCGATACGTATTGTAGACAAGAATATCGATACATATAAAATATCAAACATCTTGCATCGATATTATCGATAATATCGATACTTAAATAAAGATATATTGGATTAAAAGTATGCTTGTATATGCATTATATGAACGTAATGTATTATGTAAAAAGCATGCAATAGCATTTAATGTTTATATAATTACGCTTACCTAACATTATTTTTTAAATAAACGTTTATTTGTAAAATATATTTTTATTTTGTACATCATATACTTTATCATATACTTAAAATATTATTTAATGTGAGAGAAGTGATCAATACGAGGCAAAAACTAGATCTTAAGATCTAGATCTTGGGGTCAATAAACTCCTTTATTGAAAAATTGTACATACGCTTTGTCCCCAAATTTTGATTTTCATCAGTGTTCAAAAATTCGTAAGTATAGGAAAGACTCAGTCCATCAGCCGTGCATAGCCGGTAACAATAGATAATACTACGTCTCGGGGATAACATCCCGAAAACATAACGCGATCTAATAACTCACGCAACGGCCTATTAATAACTGCGCGGCCTGCAGTTATTAACACTACCATTTACCAGACCAGTCATTTTGACTGGTCGTGCAATTTCAATTCAAAATTCCTATTGCATGTAACATTTGCTTTCCGAAATGATGTTATGACTTTTGTAGCTATAAGTACCCAAGTAACATGAAAACGTTCAGCGAATGTTAATTTTGTGTTTGACATGTTTTATGTTAGACCCCGAACACTGATCTAACATGTTGAACTAATATAAGTTTGAAATGTTTGTACCCAAGTAGCATAAAAACGTTCAGCGAATGTTA